CTTTTCAAGTGGGGAGGGAGAGTAGAATTCCTTAGCATCGGAGCGTGTTAATTACTGTATAAGAAATACTGATGATCTGATGATCATTTTGAAAAATCCTTTCTTAACAAGCACCTAGAAACCAAGAGGAACATACGTGCCAAATTTCAAGTTTGTAGGCTTTACCGTTCTGGAGATTTTGTGTTGAGTGGTATTTGTCTTTTACATATATAGATAAACTCATAGCACACAGGCGTTAAACTCGTGATGTCACGTCGTCATGTGACGTAGCTCGACTTTCTCCCCCTTCGCTTAACTGGGGGTGGGGGTGGCCAGCGTGTGACGCATCCAGGCCGTGGGCTGCGAGTTTGACACCCCTGTTATAACATAATCAGCAGACAATACTGAATTCTCACCATGAGTTTTAGGGTGCGAAGATGGGAAGGCCAGCTACACATAGTACAAATATGTATCATTACGAGAATCGGCAACTTGCATGAATCAAGCCAGAATGCTAAACTCAAAAACATCTCAATCACCAAGTGGTTCTTCATCAGAATTTGCTCTGAAAAGCTCTGGCAAAAAAAAGGCTTGTCCAGAACAAATCTGAGACCAAGTTTATTCTATTTAAGTAGCTTGGCTCCGATGGGTTCAGGCCAGTTACGGTACAGCACTACAGTTTTGACGTACCTTCACTTTTGGAAGAAGCTGGGAAAGTTTTCACCTGGAATGGACGGAAAGGTTTATCATCAAAGAGCGGCGAATCTTCACTTTCTTCAGAGCTCACGTGGTCATCCACCGGGGATTCAGAAATGGAAGAAGTAAACTGGTCCATATCGGTTCGCTGTTCTTGAAGGAGCTTATCTATCAGAGACAATCAAGGGGGGAAATCTTGGTAGTGCCAGGTAACTACAGTCGTGGGGTTGGAAGGAACCTTTGAGGCTCCGGGATTGGGCGGCCTATAAATCTATTAAATAAATAAATAAAATAAACAAATAAAATAATCAAAACCTCTGCACAGGACAGGAATCACCATAGCGACACAGATTTACTTAGTTTTAAATTTAGAAGCTGTCTGGCTTCAGATGACTCCAGATGGGCTTCAATTTAGTAGCTTTCAATAAATTTAAATAAGATTTAAAATAAAATCTCCAGTAATGGAGCACCCGCAGCTCCAGGAAAAACTCATAGCTCGCTCCTTCCTTCCTTCCCCTTCCTTCCTATTGAATACCTGCCTTTTTAAGATGTTGCTTCCCAAAAAAAATCTAATTCAACTTCTTGCATTTGTTATCATTTCTAATCAAGTAAGAATATTACTTTTCTTTCACTAAAAACAAGCACGCAAAGGCTTGATAGGGCTGGGGAAGTGAACAAGATCTCAAGGG